GAGAGAGAAGTGTAATGGGTTACAGCTGTTGCTATGGCTGAACACAGACCTTCACACTTCAGACCATTACAAGGATGTGAGCTGAAGCTATAAACGATGCCGTCAATGACCAATTACAGCGTTTTAAGAAAATGGTGGCAATAGTAGAAAGGGGGATGTGTGTCATCATCTAGTGTCTACAATGAGTGTGTGTGTTATGCTGCAGCCTCCCTCAGACGTCAGGCCAGAAGAATGATGGACCATATTCAGTTATATACACGGAAGAACAAAGACAAGCAGGTTAAAGAAAGGGAGGAAAGATAAAATAGGAGAAGTGACTATGTTAAGGGCTGTAGAATAAAACATGGCAGCAGCCCAATCTTAATGAGCCATAAATCAGCTTGATATGAATCATCTCTACAGTGCTATTAGAGCAAAGTGTTGCGAACCTCATTAATTTCCATTAGGGAGCCACTATCTAGTAAGTTTACTATTGCATAACATTTTCTCCAGGCTCCTATCTTTATGATCTTACAATAACTCCCAGTGATCCCTTAGCATCTATGTTCCTTAACACCATTACTCTCAAGTTTGGGGTCAATCCCTTTAATTTCCAGCATGGACGTTTTTAGCAGCAGTGACTCATTTCAAACGGCTCTGTCACCACTCTGCACTCTGATGAAGGCACAGTAGATTATATAAAAAAAATGTAAAACACTATTGAAAATGATAAAATATATATTATATGTATAATAAAAGATACTATTAGCTGCCATGCAATGCCTTTGGAAAGTTGCGGCATCTCCTCAGAGAATAGCAAGCTACAAACCTTTTGATTCTAAATGCAGCCAAACTAAAAGTTGTAGTTGATATACTTTTGGCAGCAAATTTCTGTCAGATAGTACCCGCAATTAATTAAGGAAACATGTTGCCCTTGCCTGAAAAACACAAACTTGCTTTCTGGTCACAGAAAACATCTTTGTCCTCAAAAATACTTACAACTTGAAAAAAAATACATTTATCTGTCTCACTCAAAGTGATTCCGCTGTAGGCCTGCCAATGCTTTGAAAGCAACTTTGCAGAGTTAACATTTAGCTGCCTCTCTCTCTCTTTTGACTGCTTTGCCAGTGTAGGCAATGTGCAACATCCTCTATGAAGCATCGCTTACCAAGCTACATTAGTTTTGACTAACCACAGTTAACAAGTAGATTAAAGCAGCTGTGCTCTGAACATTATGTAATGCAATGTGATTATATCAGTAGGAAATAGTTTATGGGCACTATACAACTTCATAGAAATGCCCCTAAATGTGAACCAACATTACAAGGGTCCAAGGCTAACTTTAGCAAAAAACTATGCTAAGTAGCCAAGTAATTAAAACGAAATAAGGAAACGTTTACAGTACAAGCTAAATCAGCAGTAGATAGATTCTAAAACGGGAAGAAAGAAAAGAAGGAGAAGAAGAAAGGTGAAGATGAATGAGGCTTGGAGCTCTTCCTCAACTCTTAGACAGAAATGAATGTTGACTAAGGACGATGACCTCATCGCTCATTCCATGGGGGCTTGGCCGGCTTTCCACAATCACTATTAGATTAATAACTGCGGCAGCAACAACAACAACAATAATACAAGTAGCAATCACAATAATCATTATTATGTATTTTTTGGGGCCAGGAGTGCACTTCAACCGACGAGGGGCAAATGATCAGTGACTGGAGCCATTACAGCCACCACACTCAGTATGTCTCTAATTGGAAATCACAAGCAGTGAGGGAGAAAATCAGCTATGCTATAATGAAGCTAAGCTATAATTCCTCTGTCTTAGCTCCTGCCTGCCTAACTCTATCTATTCAATCAATCATTCAAGTGAGGAGCACCAATTAAAGTGCACTATTTGAATACACTACAGGAGCACAGCATTGGACTACTGATGTGCTCCTGCAGGTGTGAAATCTATATTGCCTCCAGACACCAACACTATCCCCCGTTTCCTTACCAGAGAGGTGAAGATGTAAGTGTAGTAGACTGACAGCATCCCCAGCTCTGATGCCTGCAGAACAAAAGACAAGAGGGACAGGAGGTAAGAGATAAAAGGCAAACGTAAGAGACAGAAGATACAAAAGGCAGAAAACAGGAATACGACGATTGTAGCTTCAACAAAATGGTGGAGGTCAGAGAAACGGAGCAGGCAGCGGGAGAACAAAAGAGCAGCAGAGGGAGTCTAGAATAAAGGGGCGGGGAGAGAAGTTGAGAGGTCAGTGATTCAGTGTAACTCAAGCTCCACTCTGCAGCAGACAGATCAAATCCACATCTAGATAAGACAAGGCACATTCTTATCTGACGACGGCTCTCAATGGAGCAATTAATTTCCGAAGTGCATTAGTATGCTGCTCGACACTCCGTCTTACAATTTGATTAAATCAAAGTCACAGTGAGGAGCAGTTGTGAAGGACAGGGTGAACTTTTCATAGTTTCATTTCATTAAAGTCATTAGCAAAAGAGAAAAAATAATCGAGCTATAGGCTTCTGTTTAATCATGATGTGATGCACATTATGATTCAAATCAATAAATGTCAAGGAGACATATATATATAAAAGCCTTTTTAAAGAATGTCCTCTTTGTACACATTTTTTTTTACTTTATATTATTCAACCCTGGGTGGAATCCTTTGTGAGCATGTATTAATCCTCATGTCCCTTCTGCGTCGCTTCACAGAGAGTGTCTTTTCTACAACTCGCTGCACTGAAATTTCCATATTTCCATAATAAATAGTTGAAAGACTAACATTATTCCAAGGTTGTTATCTGCACAAATGTAACCTCTGTGTTGGTGTTTGAATGCCATACGATGTGTGAATCACTCAGCTGTTGAATATTCAGCTTAAGTGTTCGGTGGAGAATAAATAATAAAACACAAAGAGAAGAAAAACACATCTTATATGGCAAAAACATCCAAACACAGATGTCACTATTAAACTCTGTAGGACCTCTCATGTTGACTTTTTAAAGCTTTCTCCTTTGAGCATATTTAGCACGCTAAAATGACTAGCATGGTTACTATTTAATTACATTTTTATTCTTCAGGTTTAGTGTTTTTAGCATCTGCCCTGCAGGGTTACACAGAGCCAGTTAAGCTTGGTAATGGCAGAGGTGATACATAATTATGTTTAACAGTACTTTATGCAGGAAGTAATATTTCTAACACCCAGCTTCTGTAACTTGGGCGATTAATGTCTTTATTACCTGTCCAAAGAAAAAATGACATTGAAACATAAATCGCATTTTCCTGCTGCCCACATCAGAAGACAACCAAAACAAGCAGCTGATGAAAAATATCCTTTTGTTTTCCTTTCACTGCATTTAAAATAAGCTTATTTTCCTTTTTTCATCCCACTTTGTGATCTCCTCGTTGTTCTACTGCAGCTTTTGGTCAGAGTGCAGGCAGTTTGCACTGCCCCGGTATACTGGGCTCACTATCAGTCCTACTCTGGCTTTGTAAAGCTGTGCACAGCAGTGGAGGGCTGAATAAACAAGATTACATTCAGAATGCTAACACTGCTGACCTAAACCCCTCAGAATGCAAAATCCTCAGAGAGTGAGAAACTGTAAGATGCAAGATGTAAACAGACAAATAATGGGAAATGTCTTGCATGACAAAGGGCGATTCTGTCCCTCTAGAGCAGCTCAGTACTCTTATCACCATCTGAGAAGGGTACAGTATATACGCCATATATATCTGATATGGTTGGCAACTAGGCACTCAACGAGAGCCAGGACTGCCAACTTTCTACCACCCAGCTGCAGGATTGTTGTGACAGGCAGCGTGACACAAATAGGAGACAAAAGAGTGAGAAACACAGGGATGGGGTGCACAAGACCACACGAAGAGCGAGGTGTGAGGAAACAAAGTGAAATAGTCTTCTCACGGGCAAAGAGCGAGAAGGACAACCACTCCATGTTGATAATGAAGACACAGACAGACGGAGAATGGGAACAGAGGAAGAGAGAAATAAAGAAAGAAAGACATCCCACTGTGGGCTCCCGCTGCTCTGTGGCCCAGGGTTGCCATGGTGACTTGGATGACAACTGATGGCGGCCTGAATGAGCTTGATCGAGGTGAGAGATGGAGACTAAGGTCTACTGTGAGAGTGAGTTTATAACTGAGAAGGAGAAGCGAGAGAAACATCCCCCCTTTGTCTGCAGTTACTGTCACCTCCACTTTAGTCATCTATCCATCGTCTTCTAGAAATAATGGAGGTGCGTATTAATCACAGAGAGGCCATATGCTGTTGCCAAACACTCTAGCTTCCTCGGCTGGCCCAATCGCCGTTATTGATGCCATTAAGGCTCTTTACAAACACAAGTCACCAATCAGGAGGAGCTTCATCTTGTGTGGACGTCAGACTGTTGGAGGTTTTGATCATGTACTGTGACGCTAATGATATGTATGTGCAATTACCTCATACAGGTCGAATTGTTAGGCTACGCACAAAAATAGCCTTCACTAAAGATTTCAAGTTTTTTCTGTCAGGCGGTAAACTTAAAAACTTTGCATATTTTTGAGAAAGTACAGCGGTAGATAGATAATGAATAAGAGCACCATTTTAGAAAGTAGAGAAAAGTGCCTCTTTTTGATTCTGTCCTTATTCACATCATTCCACTTAACTGTGTAGAATTTTCACTTTTCGAAGGTAATTCATTGGGATACAAATTGATTTAATACCATAATTTGATGTGAAAGGTTTGTTTGACTCAATTCCTCTGGCTTTTATTTTGGAGCCGAGATTTTCTGTAACTATGTCTTTTAAATGTCTACTGCCATAAATCCATGTAATCCGTCTTCTTATTAAAGAGAGCCAATGGATTACTGCGGTGAAAAAGTATTTAATTTATAAGTACTGCACACTATTTATTTGGGGAATACAAACTTTTAAAGATGAAAACTAAACCAACTTCTTCTTACAGTTTAAGAAATCACTCTCCCCATATTCAATTATTTTTAGCCCTGAAACCTTTTTGCCACAGGCGTTTTCAGCTACTTTTCCTTTTTGAGGTATATGAAAGTTAAATAAATGTGGATCTGTATAAAGCCAAGACTATAGACATAGACAAGTTATCAGTGCACAAATAACACAGCCATCATGTGAACCATACTAACCCGTTCCAAAATGATGTGTGACATGGTGGCGTTGGCATCGACTATAATAGTGGCAGTCTTGTCATCTCGTATCTCCTTCAGGAGTGGGGTCGGGTCATTGCTGTCATCAAGCATGCGCACTGACAAAGTCTCCTTGGAGATGAGGAACTGCCTGAGGAGCTGCTCCAGGTTCAATAAGCCTGCCGGTAAGACACACGCAGAAAAAACACAGAAGAGGGTTACTTGAAATAAAGTGAAGACTCTCCCAAGGATATGAAGTCAGGTATAATATAGCTTTTTTCACATTAGATAGAACAGACACAAAGTTAAGGAAAGTCAAGTGCATTTAAAGTACCGGTACATGGTTGGTATTGTTAAAGCACTATGCACTTACTATGCATACAATGTATCTAACTAGAAATTAATTGTTTGTTTTCCACCACATTTCACAGCAATGAATCCATAAATACATTTACAATGCAGAACACATGCACTGATTTCTTTTAAATACAATTATTGTGGAGCCATCAACACAAAGGGACGTTTTCATCAACTTCTCTTGTACTCGATCCCATGGTACGAGACCGCTCGACTCTGAGGAGGGTAAGTGGTATTTGCCCTAATTAAAGCATTGCCGACTTAATCAAAGTGTTCCCAGCTGTATTTTACAAGTCACTTGGCATACATATATAAGCAGACTCTGAGAGGTTATTGGACTAATTTATTCACATAGGAGACTAACTTGTCAGGTGTGTCAGTGTGAGAAAAATACAACCTGAATAATGAGTCGCTGAGAGAAATATAATGAGCCATGGCATGTATGTGTGATGGTTAAATTGTGATGGTTGAATTGGCCTCCCATGACCTAATCACACTTGAATAACATTTCTAGATATTGGCAAGGAGAGTCATATGAGAAGGACATATCGCTACACAGAAGGACTTGCATTTCACTCTAGACTTGCATTACCTTCGCTTCGACCTAAAATGTCCATTATAAAGAAATAACAAAACAACACTCTAGACTTAGGTGTCAACATCTTTTAACAGTGATGTTTGCCATGGTGACAGCAGAGTAGATCATCTGTCACATGGGAACCAATTGTGGTCCAACAATTTAAAGTTATCAAGCTGACTCTTTTAAGCTTTTTCACAGCACATTAACACACGCTACAGCACTGCCCCAGACACCAGAATCATGTCTAATGGCTTCTATAATTGTGTCTCGGTTACTGTCTGTCTTTCATCTGGTCGGTACAGCAGTGTATCATCGGGTGTGTTTGTCTTCCTGTAGCTGGCTACCTGTGTGTGTGCACTCATGAGACATCACTCGTGGCTGCTCCTTGCTCGCCTGGCTGTGTCTCCGACCTGTCAGATCGGCTTCCTCTGTAGTATAACTTTGATGAGCTTGAAATAGCTTCTGTTAAATCGCCCTCCTTGCCTGCCTCCTGCAGCCGCTCTCTCTAGCTTCTTGCTGTTTCTTGTTCATTAGACACTAGACTTTAGAGCTTCTACTAAATATAACTTGCCAAACGGCACATACACAAATTCTTGCTAAAATAAAGGGAAACACAGAAAAGGCTCATTTTAGCTCCGGCTGCTCAGGATCTAAAGGGGGGATGTGAAGCTGAACGAAAAAAATAGATTTTCTTAAGTTTCACCTTGCAGGGAAATAACATGATTTTACTGCTTCTCAAGTTAAGTTATGTTTACGCACCTAATCGCATTGTCTGTATCCTTGAGGCTTAGAAACAGGTTGAATCTATTTCCTAAATTATTTTTGAATTCAAGTCAGTTCTTTCCACACTTTACTTTACATCCTTTATTGTTTACCTTCATATTAACAGGTCTTGCAGTATTTCCTGACATTGCTGCCTCATTAGTGTGTTTCTTGGACATACTGTAACTGCCATCTCAAGATCAGTGGAAAAGTGTGAATCCACGGGCAGGGATGTAGATAACTAAACAAATACAAAAAAACAGATTCATAGCGCTACTAGGGGTCCTTGCAGATGCATCCAAGGACAGTTTTGTCCACCCCAGTCAGACCTGGCGTTAAGTGAATCTTTAAGGATCATAACCTTAAGTTCAGAGTCAGAGTTTTGATTTGGTACATAGTTTTGTGTAATCCAGTGTAAGTTGAATCTAGAGAATGCATTATGTCAAAGAGAATCCTGTCAAGGTATTTATATAGATTAAAGATGTGTGTTTGTTAACACACAACTTGTTGGCAAGGAAGACACATGGCTCGAATTCTCACTGAGGCACAACAATAAAGGTGAGAGCTGACATTCAAGTCAGGAAACCAGCACTAATGTACCGTACCTTTCACATACACACCACACACATGCATGCACACACACAACAGACAATGCTTTTGCAAAGACACAAAGTGACCCAAAACAAGCACACAGAGCCACAGACATACAGAGGAACAAGCAGTATAAGAAACATTAACAGAATACATTAAAGCAGCTGAATATGCATTCCTTGATGGTGTATTTGAATAATGTACAGTATAGTGAAATCTTCCGTCTTGAAGAAGCAATAAATATAGTCCCCAATCTTTGATTACATTACATTATGATGACTTATCATTTAGCCTTCAACAGAGTAATACCTCGTTTTTATGTTGTCTGCAAGATCAAAACCTATATATATATATATAATTATATTTATATATACAGTCTATGGTTAAAACATTAAACAAATTCCAGAGCTTATTCCCCTTCCTATTAACCCAAATAACCATAGAAGTACAACCATCAATAACGGCAATAATCCACCTGTCGCACGGTGATGGGGCTGATGTGCAGTTACTCATAATTCCTGATTTCTCTGCAAACAGAATTCATATACATTATTTGTGCAGTGCAAATACCTTATCCTTGCAAAAGCTTTTCTTGTAGCTATTTCAGCTTGAGGGTGATATTACCGTGTAGTAATATATAGAGAAAATGGCAAAAGGCAAAGATAGCAGAGTTCAACATGTTTTGTTGCCCCATGTAGAGTGTTCCACCAGGGACACTACTTTGTCTGTCTTTTTATTGTTGCCTTAAATGGACAGGTAAGGATGAAAGCTCCATGCTGGATATAAACCGAGTATGACACAAAGTGGTTTTCATACACCTGTTTTTAAGGGCAGTTTAAAAAATCCATGAAAAACCCACATCAAAAGAAAATGCATACATATTTTACAGGTTGTTGTTTTTATAAAAGCAAAATTCTCAGTGCAATGAAACTTTGTGGAACAAGTATGTCACTTAAAAGGCTAGAAGAGGAGACAATGTTTTCAGTGTTTTAGTTTTGACTGGCTCTCCTTTAATTTGTTGTTGTGCCTTGTCCTTCTCCAAGGGTTTAATGGCTCCTGACTGGGCAATTAGCTCCACCAGCTGTTTACCTTGACGAGCCCAATTCCTAATACCCACATAACCCTAGTGAATGGAAACATACTCTATCTAGTATGTTCCTTTGCTGATTTTCTGTAGAAAACTGGTTATAGTCACAATACATCATATAGAAAACCGTATATCATTTACAGGAGATGCCTCTTGATGTGTCTTTTGATTGAAATGTTCACATTTCATTTATGCTGGTGAGGAATCAGCCTCAATCCCTTTTCTAATAAAATCAAGAAAAAAGTTGCTGCAATTTACTCTAAAGAAATACAACATGTTTGCAATTATATACACAAACCCTGCCCACTCTCCACAAATCTAAAATGTAGTTTTTATGGGTCAACAACTTTTATTTAAAAAAAAATCAGCATGTAAGCCAACTGCCCTTCATCTATTCAACGAGAAGCTTTTTAAAACTCCAAAGTGCTGCTGCTTCTCGCACCATCACCACTATCACTTTGATTACCTACAACAATGTCTTTCACATCATGATCATTAGTGGCCACAACATAATTACAATTATAAAAGTAATTATGTAGTATTAAGACCATCCTCTGCAATTACTATGTTCTCGTCATCCTAACACCAATAACACAGTGCTGATCACAAGTCATTGAGATGTCTCTTCCACCTGATTAACACTGATTACAAGTTAGAAAAGTAGACACAGTAGGTCAGCATGAGCAATGGAAAATTGCAAATTATTAGACGTCACAATCTATAATTAAATACAAAACTAAAAGTTTAAAGTGAAACCATGATACCAAGTATGTTTTGTCTCTTACTTTGCTGCAGTGGAGCGATGCAGTGAGTTGAAACGGCAAACCTTGCTCTCAAACTGTGCCTATCGAAGGAGAAAAAGAATGCTCTTCAAGCATGTGTGGCCTACTGTTTTGTTGAACTTATAAATCCTGTGTACCTGCACTGCAGTTCCAGTCAACATTTGAGAGTTTAAGGGATGTTCTCTTTGAGCTTACTGACAGCTGCACCAATCACCTCACTAATGAAAGTAGTCTGCTGTGGCGCAGTGTGAGTGAGAGCAGAAACAGCATGCATGGGAATGTGTGTGATTTGCACAGTGTACGTGTGTGCATGCAGAGTCCAGTGCGTGCACTTTAACACGTGTCTCTTTTCATTAACCAAAGGCCTCAACCACACAACATGTGGGCCCCCCCAGTAGGTCAACAAATTCAACCACATGGAGAGTTTTCGGAGCCAAATGTACAGTAATGCGGCTGCGGCACACACTGCTATCGATAGTGGAGGTTAGCTTTATTAATGTCCGTCCTGGTGTGCACTGTGCCTTTGGGCACAGCTCCACCTCCGCTCCTGCCTCCTCAGCCATGGCTGGGAAATATTCATGTATTGGCCACGCTCTATTAGGCTGTCACTACCTATGGTGATTAATGAGGCCGGCACATGTGGACGAGCCACCGACAGGCTTTCAACCGACCAACTGACAGAGAGAGAAGTGTAATGGGTTTCAGCTGTTGCTATGGCTGAACACAGACCTACACACACACACACACACACACACACACACACACACACACACACACACACACACACAGGCATGAATCCAGGCATGCTTCCATGTGATGCCTTTTCTATTGAATGAACGAGGGTCACATGAGAGAGTGCAATCAATACAGCCGCGTCATTTCCTGGACTCTCTCCCTCTCGTTAATGTATAATTCTAGTGTGGTTGCCTCCTCCCTTTCCTCACCCCAAACAACTACATTTCAACCCTGCCACATCTGCCAAATAGCATCCTCTCTTGTCCCCTCCTCTCCCACCCCTCTCTCATGTTAGACTCCCCTTATAGTCTTTTATCTGCCTCTGATCTACCCTCATTGCATTTCTTTTTATTCCATTTAATTTCCTTTCCAGTACTCTCAAAGACCAGGGACACAGAATAAGAACCTCCCCGCCAACCTGCACACCCACCCAGAGGGAACAAAAAGAGTAATGTTAAAATGAGTTTCATTTCCCCAAACTATCTAATATTAAAGTCAAAGGATGCCTAAAAGGTTAGCTTGTTATCACTTTTCTCGCCGGAGCTGTATTAATCAACTCTTGGTGGAATTCGTGTCACAGAAACAGAATCTTTGCCCTGAATTGGAAAAATGACTGACAGGTACAGAAACACCTAGAAGGGAAAACAAGTAAAGATATATTTTACCCTTGCAGTGAAATGAGTCGTGTAGTAAGGTCGGTTTAAACTACAATTATATATATATATTTCCTTTTAGTGCATTAAATTATTTATTTACGAGTTTCTTCCTACAAAAATAACAGCATGAATCTACTTTAACTGACCGTAAATACAAACATTTCGGTTTGATTCATGTCATTTTGAGTGACAGATTTTGCCCTAAAGGTTATAAATAAAAGGAAACAGTCAAAGAGGCAGCTGAAAGGCAGAATAACTGAGAATAGAGATAGGCGGGAGGTGGGCGGTTCATAGTGGCTCATTGCCATCTCCAGGCAGTCTGAGACATGGTTGATGTCTCAAGTCTATTTCCTTTCTTCAAAGCATTGTGCTGATTAGGGAAAAGGTTAGCGGGTGCCACTCAGGGTCATGGTGCTTTTGTCTAGGGAGTTGTAATTACTGCTTGCTGGACTACAAGAGGGTGGGAACGGGCTATGGTTTAATCTTCCTCTCTATTTACGAGAATAACTTCCCTCAAGGAGATCTTCAAGCTTTTTTTAAGGTCATTCAGTTTAGTATCTTTAGAATCTAATGAGCGCCTTTGACAGGGAGGCGGTCAGATCACTCGTAGATACAACTTCAAACTCAACCCTGGTTCTTTTTAGTCCATCTAAAGAGGAGTTTCAGCAGTGTGTTTCTTAGGTGTACACAGACTTGCAAACATGACATTAAGATGGAAAGTATAAGAAAGAATAAACATGACAACATGTAACATGCTATATAATTTAATTTACGGATCATTATGACATTGCAAATGAGGAAGAACCCCGCAATAAATGTGATTTATTTTGGAAGCAGAAGCCAGGGATGTTGATGTGAGGCAGTTTTAGCGGCGCAGTGCAGCAGCTGCTTCAGAGGGGAGCGTGACACAGGGTGAGATGTTGATAAGCAACACAGCTGTTGTTAGAACACAGCCGACATGAGTGCGAAAAACTTATGTCTGCTTACATGTGTTAAAGGGTTGCAGACATTAGACCAAATGTTTGCACTTTGTTGGCAGATTCTCCCGCTCATGTGTGATGGTGTGTTTTGTTGTGAAGGTATGAACGCTGTACTCACAGTCAGCCTGTGCACAGATGAGGCAGGAGGTGGTGCTGTTAAAGAAGGTGAGAAGGCCGGCCACAGCCAGGCTGATGTCCGTGTTGGTCGGCCTCATGTCCAGAGTGGTGAAGCGAGGGAACTGAACCTTCAGAATGTCCTCTGGAGCCACCTTGACATAGGGCACCTGCACAGAGAGGCTAAAATCAGACTTCCTGTTGCATTTTAACCATCCACACTTTTACATTCATGTTTAACAACGGCAGCAGACATCTGCAGAAAGGACAACAATATGCTGTAAGAGATCTCACCAAGAGCAAATGTGTAAGATGGAACTGCAGAATAAAAATAGTACAATGCAAAAAAGACTGCCAGAAGAAAGAACAGTTCTGTAGAAATGGGATCAATCTGTTAAAATAAATTGCAAACAAGATGACCCAGGGGTCTGAGGAAATGTGCATATTCAGAATTCTAATTCTTTCAGTGACACTGAAGCAGATTTCGGAGACTCCAAGTGTAGATCTGAAAGACCTATTTTGGTTCCACCCACACGAACAAGCACTTGTTAGAGAAAACTTCAGTACAACACCCCCTCACCCTCTGCGACAAAACATTTCTTCACTGTGGAGCAGCTCAACGGAGTGTTTCAGGTAACAATTTTATAATCCAACATATCACAGCAAATTTAAGTAACTAACATTCTTTTTTTGTATTGGTGCTGTTAGATCATTGCATTGCACAGCTTCTTAGCAATACCAGAGTTAGCTACAAGCTTAATTACATCTGAAGTCCCTGTGCCGGGAACAGGGTAGATCAAAAATTCAATAAACAAAAGAAGATCATCATTTCTGATGTTAAAACCGTATGTTTAATACATTTATATAATGACCAAATCCAATATCATAATCTGTCAAATAAATAAAGAATATGACAGTCAGGTTAAAGTGCCAACTACCAGCTTTCCTTTGAAGGTATTACATCCATATCCGATGAAAAGTATTAGCTATAAACATGAAATGTAATGTATGCACATGTAGGTTCATTATCCTGCTGTATTATGCTACATTTTTAGAACAGTGTGTAAAGAAGCTAACCCTTTCCACACCATAGACCCAAAACGGATGAACACCATTAAAGCTGTGTGTCAGAATCTGAAATTCATAGTGGCTGTTAAAGTATAATGTGCTGCAGGACGAATTAAAACCCAAGATAATGTAACTAATGTATACTTAATAGGTCACGACTGACTGCCGTGTATGTCTAAAAATCATAGTATCCTAAGGTCAATAATAAGCATTACACTTATGAGGCAATAATTACACTGGGAACAACAACACAACACATTGAAGAGCAGAAGCATGAAATAAGGCGCGTGTTTAGCCAGTAGTCAGAGCAAAGATCAGGCCCAAGGAGTAAGTGAAAGGAAGCCAGCCAAGCCTTCAGTGAGAATCAATAAATACACAATTCTCCTATTCCAGCCCCATTGTGAGGCATACAGTCTTCAGTGAGATGGATTGCCGTGTTTTCACAGGGTAGATTTGCTGTTGCTACATTAATATCTGTATTCCTTTGCTGCCTCTAATGAATTGATCATCCCCACTGCACTAACAGGTATATCTAGCGCAGACTGTCTGAGGGTAGGTTAAGTACACTGCAGCTAACCTTGCAGCCTTGGACATTTCCTGAGCACAGCAACTAATCCGGACGGAAGCCCACTACAAATCTGCTGAACTTCAGGAAAACCATAAATTACTTTCAACACAATTTAAACACGGCTCCCATCTATTGTCATCCAATGAATGCATCTGTGCTTCAGTTCTCCATGTGATGATGTGAGCGGATGCATGCTGCCAGGGCTCAGAGCGAGGCCTGCGGAGAGTGCGAAGAAGTGTGGCAGGTGTCGGGTTGGTCAGCTGCCAAGGCATTGCAGTAGAGCGCAGTGGGGCTTGAAGGGGATGCGGGAAGACATGCTGGGTCCGAAAGGAGGGACAGGGAAGGGAGCCTCTTCATCATGGCAGATTGCCTGTCTGTGTGGTTCCCAGCGCCAATACGTTGTTTTCCTCCTCGCACCCATATCCCCTCGATTGGTTTTCCATCCCTGCCCATCAGGGTGTAATGGAGTCCCTGGGTGTCTGGATGGATGGATGGAGGCACGCCGACTACTGACAGGCTCTTCTGGAACGCCATTCAGACCACTGAAGGTGTCCTAAACCCTGCTTAATATTCGAACATCCCAATCGGGAAATATGCCTATCTCCAGGTGTGTCCCTCATCTTCCCGGTTGCATTTTTACAATTGTTCACTTCACGTTTCTTACTCTGCTGTTTCTTTGTTTACGTCATATTGTTTACTCTTCCTTTCCATTTGACCCTTTTTGCCCATGTGTGTCGTTCCTTGCATTTCAGCACTGCAGACTGGTGCTGACGACATCTTTCACTTAGAAACCTGACAAGCTTCGATAGGCTGTATCTGAGGCAGCAGGGGGCTTAGAACGCAGCTTACACAAATTCAAGCATATTCACACACATACCCACACACCCTCTTTTGCTACAAACACCATCAATTTGGGGAATTACTTGGCTTTGAGACTCGATTCATCATTAATACATTTCCTAGCATGCAGCTTCGACTCAAAACAGTATATATTTTTGACATCCTGGCAATTGTCCAAAATTATATATTTAATGGAATACATTTAATTAACAAGCACTTACAGTACTAGAGAAAATTAGCGTACTTCAATTATCCTCACTATATTTTATCCACAGCTTTTCACAAAAAAGCTGTTGGTTTAGTGTGGTTTAATGTGACAACAAAATGGGACCAGAACACATAATCTATACATCATGCCTCAGCACATTTCCCCCTTGTTGCAGCAATATTATTCATTGGTTGTTGAACTGAGGCAGTCACTATCCTCCTCATGTGGTGGAGTGACAAAGTGTTATAAATCAAGACTTCAGTTAAAACAGGGGTACTCAAAGCAGGAAAATCAATCTCCACATTATTAACAGCAAGTTGTTTGACACATCAAAGTCCCTGCCAGACTTCTACCAACAGCTAGTATCAGTCACTCTGCTGATCTATTAATCCCGAAAATAAAAACAGATAAATCTTTCCTACATGTGTCTTTGGAGCGCACAGCTTCAAAGACTTCACGCCGAACAGCTGCATCACCTTCAGAGCAGCTCTGCAGGAAACTCACAAGTTTGCCATGCCATCAATCCTGGGTATTAATTAGTGAGTCAATTTCATGCCAAACTGACTCATCTTATAACAGTTTTTATTGACTGTTTTGGAGAATTCCCCTCTTTGTGTGGGTTTTTGGTAATTGTTTAGAATGCGCTAATTAGTTTCTTTAAATAACAATGGATCCAATGACTATGCGTCATGTAAAATAGGTCATTCTTAGTCATGAACCCACAGACAATTGTCAATAAATTCTTCAGTTTCATTCAGTATCTTCCAACTAATTGTGTAGTTTAAGAGATATATATATATATTTATATAGTTTTAAACTAAAAAGGGTATGATAAACCTACATTGTGTTAGCTGTCCAGCCAGGGTTCGAGTTATGTGGGAGCCAATGGGAGCTGAGGATAATAACCCATAAGGAGGGGTCTGAGCTCCCACGGACGCAGTGAAATCCTACATCTGTGGGGGTCACTAATACCAATGCCAACAACCATTATTTTAATCACAAATAATGCATGTGTCAATGTAATGAGTATTATTTACGTTAATGAGGTAAATAGGCAAAAAGAAAAACATGTTTTCCAACAGAACTACGTATCTCTTGAATGACAATATGCCTGCACTGCACCTCCAAGGTGCGCAATACATTATTGCTAAATCTATGCTGCGCGAGCCGAGATGATGTGTGTGTGCGTAGTTGAACCTTTTCATATTTAAGTTTGTAGCAAGTAGAGGGCTGCTGCTGTGTGTGTGTGTTTTTGTGTGTGTGTGTGTTTGAGTGTGTGTGTATGCGTGTGTGTGCATGTGCACACGTTCGTTTTAAAGACCCCCATAGAGCTCAGTTTATAACCCGAACCCTGTGTCCAGCCCAACATGGTAGATAATTAGCTGCAGAACCTAATACCAACCAATTTACTGGATAAGTAGCCAGACATTTCTCTCGGGGATTGGCAACCAAAAACAAAACATCAAGAAAAGGGAAAACTGGACCACCATTTACCAAGCCAGAAACACGTTTAATAATGAATGCTGTTCTGTAGGCTTGCTGACACGTTCATCATAAGAACTTTCTACGGTGATAATTTGTCTATTTTGTGTTTGATAGAGACAGCATTTAAATAAAGGTAAGTTTCATGAGTGTAGATATATTTGGCTTGAACAAAGACAATAGAGGACATGTAGTCAACTAGATAATGGAAAACAGGACGTTATTCAAAGTTGCATGGTAGTATCTCTTGAAAGCATCTGCTCATGGCAGTCGTACCATTGGTGTGGGAGTGAAACTAATTACATCGTATCATCGTGAGGGGAGGAATATCTCGTGCAAACAAAAAAAGTTGTTTTCACTGTGAATAGAAATACATTTCATGGTGACTGCTGGGGAGAAAGACAGGCCTGTGCCAGGGGAATACAAGGTGAGTGAGGACAGTGAAACTGGATGCAAGTGAAAGATAGAAAAAAGAGGGAACAGAGCGAGGACTAGAGAGAAACTTACAGTCTGACTGACAGAATAAGAGAGCATTGAAGTGAGCGACTGAGAGGCTGAGACTGGGGATACCATGTGCAGGACAGGAGAAGAAGGAAACGTAAACACATAAGGCGCTTTCACACCGCAGTACTTTTCCCACAAAGGTTCTTGAGAATCGCGTTCACGTACAGATCGCGTTCACACCGGAATAAGTCCCTGGGGGTGGATTAGGCAAATGAAGCCGCTGACGTCACTTCTTCTGCTTTAGGTTTACTGGCAGGCCGCAAACAACTTCACAGCGTATACTGCCACCCAAAATCCCCGGCCGGAAGTCCCCGGAGTTGGGAACTGGCTTCAGTAGAAGCTGCTGGGACTCCCAGC